AGCATCTAAACGTCAGCTTTGATGAGAACGCAAATTCCAAAGTGGACACAGACTTTACCAACCAGCAGGCATACTACAGTTGTTGCGTTCATGTTCTTCGTAGAAAAAGCCTTCTCCCACTTCTGAAGTAGTCGTGCCCTACCAGAATGATCGACCTCTGTTAGTTTCAACGGTGAATCCATCGCCATTGGATTTCCTACCTGACTCGCTTGCAGAGAGGCACGTACTCGTTTTGCCGGACCTTGTGTTCAGCGACATCCTAGGGCATCCTAGGCAATGGTCTTCGACAAACTGTCTCTCACCCGGCCAGAAAAAGTGCAAACCTAGTTTAACTGACGTTTCGCGCTCCCCAGATAACGACAGGTTGAACCACTACGCATTTCCTCCAGTAATACCTTCCTCTGATGCCACGGAACTACGACGAGTTGCATGTACTTGTCCTGCGCATCTACCCAGTTGGCCGTTGAAGGAATTTCACCCTGCATTTCTTGTTGTCCCCGGTCATACGCTGCCAAGAGCTCTGACTACCGAGCGATCTGACCTTCTGGGCGCATTTAACGCAAACTGCTGTGGTCGGTTCGAGGCAGAAACAGCCCTCCCAATAAGTCATACTTAAATGCCGTACTCCGCACACGAAAGCTACTATCACTTTACAGGTGGCACAGTGTCGTCTTTCGGCTTTACTCAAAGTTCGACTCACATATGCGATAGCGTGCTGCTTGTCATCGACTATCGTCACTGGCATCGTTATCCAGGAGAAACTTCTTGCTGAAAGAAGAATGACTGAAAACCAGCCTGCTTGCAACGTTTTCTTCAGCCTCATAAATGCCGAATTGCATATATCCGTTCAATTTCAGTCAGTCTTTGTTTTGCTGGCTTATGTAGGGGTGCGGCGATAGTGGCAAAGTTCTGGATGAACATTCAGGCTTGCCTGAGTCGTATTAACACCTCCCTTCGGCGACGATTCTGTCCGTCCTTTTCTGGTAGAACACGGTGATATAGTCCAAAAGGTTGGCGAGGCAAGAATTCCAGTGGAGTCCTGCAAGCACATACTTCATCAAGCGTGCTGCACAAAAGGAACTGCTTAATTTTGAACTGGTAAACACCAGAGCTGTAATGACGGTCTTTTCCCTGTCTCGCTCGTCCTCTTTGATTTGTCAATATCCAGAGGCTAGGCCTATCGATGAGAACCGCTGGACGTTTCCGAAGGTATAAAGCGTGCCATCGATCATAGGAATAGGAAGACTATCGTTGCGCGTGACTTCGTTCGGTTTCCGATAATCCACGCAAAATCTTGCTGTTTAGTTTTTTCCCTTAATGACCACAATCGGTGATGCTCGCGGATTATTGGTCGACCTGATTATAGAGCTCCTACCATCTCTCCATCAGTTCTTTCTCTTCTTTCTATCGATTAAAATGGATACGCAGATGTTCATAACGGATTCACGGACATGTCTCGGTATCGATCTCGTACGGCACTAAGTTCGTTTCCCCGAGATCACGGTCTCCTTGAGAGAGCATATCTGTGCACCACTGAATTACAGCTGACAAATGATTCTTGAGTCCTACGATCAGCTCTCCAGCATTCGACAGCATCCGATTGCCGTCATCGTTTGAGAGTGCAAAATTCTTTCCTGGCCATGGCTCCGTTGATATACTGAGGCGCACTGATTCTACTCATACTGGCCGGAAGAGTTACTAGTTCTGAATCCATGTCAACAATCTAAAAGGGAATAACCCTGCCTTGATGCCTGGCCAGCGCCATCGCCATTGGCGGTCCATGGCGTTTAGCGTTCTTTCCCGATAGTTCAAAGAGTTTTTCCTGTTCGTAATCACGATCATGAGCGCCTGGATCCAGATTCACAACTTTTAAGGCAGTTTTGCATACGGCTGATATTGTCACCGGTTTTTTTTCCTTACCGAGGATGTTCTCATGGCATCGTGGGCTTGTGTATTACCTCGTTTCCAATTCACAGTCTTGACATCTTCCACCTAATAGCCACACAGCCCTGGTTCAGACTGATAACGGATCTCAGCTTGTTTAAAATACCACTTATGGATCATATCATTTGCTATCCGATTGCTGTGCTGGCGCAATTCTTCGGGTTCTTGACTTTAACGGTTACTTCGATTAGAAGATCCATGCTGATCCCGGCGGCAAGGACCAAGTCAGTAGTTATTCAACGTTGAATTCTTTGCATCCCTTCACCGTTGAGACAATTTCGCCTTACCACCGTCAGCGTGACACTCGAGTTGGTCAGGATCTTTATATTTTGCCTCTTTACCTCCCTTTAAAACTCAGACGGGGATACTTTCGAAGAACGACCGATATGCAGTAGGCATTTTTACAATGCGTCAGCCCACTCTTGCTGTATCCGAACTTTTTCAGTTTAAACGAACACTTTGTTTGTTTCGGGTGGTACTACGCGTAGCTGAAATTCCGCTTCTGCTCGACCTGCCCGAGAAGCCTGTATTGCAAAGCAGCAAGCTTCGATAAGGTTCCGCTTGGCTGTCTATCTGGCCATACAACAGCAGATCGACTTGTCTCCGCAGGCCTTTAACGTGTCTTGGTGCTGCCTGCAAAATCTAGGGCATGGGACCTTGCCATTAGAGGAACTAGATTTGTGGAACG